AAACAGGTAGCGCATTAGCAAGGGCCATTTCCACGCGCTTCGCCACTGCTCGCAAGGACTCGGTCATTTCGCCGATAGCCACCATTTCTTCCTGTTCAGACAGACACAAGAATGCTACCAGAGCTTTAGTAGCGTTGGTGTCGTTAAACTTAACCAGTTCCACGGCCGATTTGGCGCTAGTCGCTAAGTTGAGCTTGAGATGGTGCTCAATTTCACCCAACTCAATGCGCTGGCCGTGAAGTTTGACCTGCGAGTCTTTCCTACCCAGATACATCATTTCACCTTCTGAAGTATACTGAATAAGATCTCCGGTACAATAGAACCTACGCCCTGTCGGTCCTGTAACGCGGGCCCACTCTGGATCGGTGATGAAAGCAGCCTGCGTTTTTTCCATGTCGTTCAGGTAGCCACGACTGAGGATTGGCCCTTCGAGAAGAAGCTCTCCTTTGCACCCTATCGGCATCAAGCGATTGCGATTTTCAGGATCAACAACCCATGTGACACACCCGACAGCTTTGCCTATGTTAGTTGCTTCACCACGACCATCACTAAAGTCCTTGAACGCCGAGTTAATTGACGCTTCACTGGGTCCGTATTGGCCGAAGACAGGTACATGTGGGCTCCAAAGCTCGATCAACGCCTTGGTCAGCGGCTCCGCACCAAGGCACATTCGTTTCAATGTTGGAACCTCTTTTGGAGAAAGCAAAGAAGCCACTGTCGGTGTGAGGTCCATTATGTTGACATTGAGCCTGGTCACGACTCCAGCAAGATCATTGACCCGATCAACCTCAGATGGAACACACACGCAACCTCCCCTCTGGAGGGTAGTAAACATCTCTTCGAGTGAGTTATCGAATGTGTAAGAAGCAAATTGCAGCATGCGCGAGCTGTGATCTAGACCAATCTTTGATCCATGTGCTTCGGCGCTGGTGACCATAGCAGAATGCTCGAGTACCACGCCCTTGGGTCTTCCGGTACTACCGCTGGTGAAAATGACGAAGACTGGATGATGCGGCTGTACACCTGTGTTGATCGGACTGCGAACTGCTGGGAGACTCTGTAATAGCGAGTCATCTACAACAATGATGTTGTCTACTAGCCCTTCAAACTTTTCGGCGCGTGCAGTTGTTGTTAGAACAATCTTCGAAGCAGCGTCCTCAAGACGTGTCTGTAGGGCATTCACAGGGTGGGCTGCATCAAGGGGAACAGCAGCGCCACCTGCCTTGATAACGGACAACATGGCGATGATAGCGAACATGCTTTTATCAAAACATGTTGCAACAAATGTCTCGGGCCTGACGCCTAGCTGCACGAGATGATGTGCCAGTCGATCAGTAACGACCTCCAACTCGGCGTACGTATATTCTCCGTCATGCGCACATATGGCTTGAGCATCGGGTTGACGGTCAGCCCATTGAGAGAATCTGTCGTGCACACATTCATTGATGGTTTCTGGCATGATGTTCCAGTCGTGGATTTGCCGGAGATGCTTTGGACTAATATGTTCCAGAGTTGAAATGCGTTGTTTCGCATGGAAAACAATATTCTCCAAAGCTCGAACAAAAGTGTTGGCGACGTTGGTAGCTTGACCTGAAGTGAGGTGATCCGTCCAATAATCAAGATCGACTGCTGCGCTGTCATCGCCAACTTCAATATTAATACTGACCGGATACCTAAGCATGATGTCAGTAAAAGGATGGTGGGCTTGTTTCTTCAAGACCTTGCTCTTGAATCTGCAACTTACTCGGTTGGGTCATAGATTGGGCGAACTTCCTGTAAGCGGACTCCAGAATGATCGAAAGCCTGATCCTGAGGCAAGCGACGGTACGACAGCGCGGTATTGAACAAGTTCGCGCCTGACAGTTGGAGGGCGTGTTGAACATCAGCAAGGGCAGTGTGACGATGTGGGAGAGCCTCCATGTAGTCTCTTTGAACGTCTTGTAACACATCGAGAAGACACCGGGATCCATCAGAAAAGTTTACCCTACAGACCAGGGTATTGATCAATGGACCGACGATGCTCTCCACGTCTTCAATTTCTTCTGAATCCCTTGCAGATGTCAGATATCCAAACGTGACATCATCGCTACCAATGTAGCAACTGAGCGTAAGCGCCCATGCAGTGTGAAAGACATTTGACAGTGTAATACCGTTGGCGTTGCAGAAAGATTGGAAGTCGGGTAAGCTAATGCTAGACAGATCCATGCGAATCGTGACCAGCTTCTTTTCCAAAAGCTGGCCCTGTCCATCGTCGAGAACGGGAAATGAAGAGATCTCGCTACCATTTAGATAGGATTTCCAGAAGTCCAGGCTGGCTTCCTCTGGCTGCCGGGTAAGCCATGCAATGTATGCGCTGAGCGGAGTATAGTCGAGTGTAAGTTGTCCCTCACATGCCGTCCTCAGTTCACTGACAAGTAAGCTCATAGAATGACCATCCATGATCGCATGGCTAATATCCAGAGAGCAAAAGATTCTTCCGTCGGCTGTATCACAGATTGTTAGGCGATGATTTGGACATTGGCCGTGACTGTAAGAAATGGATCGCTGCCGCTCAATGATTCTGATAGCATCGTCTTCATCAGCAGCCTCAAGGTGGACGATGTTGACCTCAATGTTCTTGAGAACAATCTGGTTGTATAAACCCTTCACGCCCACATTCTCGGCGAAAACAGTTCGCAATGCTGGATGGCGCTTGACCACCTGTTGCCAAGCCTCAGCAACAGTCTTCCAAGACATGTGGAACTGCGGCGCTAAAACTTCATGAAGAGTAGCAGCAGCATAGTACCCAACGTCTTTAGTCTGTGATAGTAATAGCCCTTCCTGCATGCTGGAGCATGGATATATGTCTTCCACCTCGGTGTCAGGAATTCCCATGGCCGAAAGTCTATCGAGAATGGAGTTGAAGCTTTCTTCGGTCAGAGACAAAAGCGGAAAATCGCTGAGAGTTGGCTTTGGCTCCAAAGCATTGAGTCCACGGATCATGTTTGAAATAGTTGCTTCGCACTCTGAGACCCATCTCAAGATATGTCCCTGGTGAGACATGTCGCGATTGAAGGTAAATGCAACCTTGAGACGGCCTTTGAAGACAAAGGCGGAGATTTCAAAAAGTCCCCATCTACAAGTACTGTAGCCGAAGTCAGAAGTACCGCCAGCCTTACCAGTCTCACCCGCCATGGTGCCCACTGGCTGAAGAAGAGCGTCCGCCCTTTCGAGTTGCTAACAACCATATTAGTGGAATGTCGACAATGAGTGAGACTTTCAACATACCTGATATTGGCCAAGATAGTTAAACAAGATCTCCATTGGCCAGTGGGACTTGAAGCTTTCGCGGCCATCCTCGGTGAGGCATCGACGAGCAAAGTATGGCCGACCGTTACCGGGAATGCGGCGTTTGAAATCCTTTATCTTGCGGACTGTATCCGTGATTTTCTCGGACGGCGTCACGAGGATGGGTGACAAAGCAGTAAACCATCCCACCGTACGGGTAATATCGATGCTGGAGTCCCATGGCTCGCGACCATGGCCTTCGTTGAATATCGCGGGAATTGGTCGGTCAGTGAAAACCAGAGACCAGGATTGAATTAGAGACGCAAGCAAGACTTCAACCGGCTCCGTTTTGTAGGCATTGTGACAAGTCGTGAGAAATGCAGAGCTGAGCTCGTTGTCAAGCTCAAAGCTGGCATGGCTTGCATTACCGTAGGTGTTATCCTGGTGCTGGATGCCCCAATATGAAAAGTCCATGTGCGGGACATCGACTTCGGGAAGAATCTCGCTGATTTCCAGAGACTCTGCATGCTCCTGTTGCAGTTCCGCCCATTTCTGGAACGGAAGTGCTGGCGCCAAGAGCTGCCCACCTTTCAAGATTTCTTCAAGCTCCTCCAACAAAAGTCGCCACGTGACTAGATCGACAACGAGATGGTGACCAGTGAGAAACGCAAATTGCTGAGTTCCGTAATCAAAAAATTCAGCGGCGAATAGGGGCCCATTGGCATGATCTAGGCATTGCTGCGTATCCTCAATGGAAGCGTCTATTGTGGCTTGGGAGGTAACAGCAGAGTGGCGGAAGCGATAAGATCCTTCAATGTCGTCTAAAGTGACCATTAGCTGTGGGAATAGTAAAGTTAAATAAATTGAATGTATGAATGCTGGAACTGAGGAAGGAGTTGAAAAAAAGCGGGGCCACGTGAGGTGACATACTTGTGAGACGCTGTTGCCACCCTCGTTCGGCTGAATGGGAGAAACGGGCGCGCAGCATTGAGTGACGAGTTACAAGCTGTCTAACTGCAGCATGAAATTCGGTTGCACTCGTTATTCGGGCAACTCGAAGATAGAACGATTGGTTGAAGTGGCCGTCTGTGTTTGGTCGTTGGAAGTAGAGAGACTGGATCGGGGAAAGGTCGAATTCTTCGTCAAAGTACTCCTCGTGATCATATGACAAGCTTTCCACCTCTTTGACCGCAGTTGCCAGCTGGGTGATGGATCGACTTCGTAGAACATCTTGGACGCCAAGACTCAAGCCGTCCTTGCGGCACTGACCAACGACCTGCATTGCAGAAATAGAGTCTCCGCCTAAGGATAGAAAGGACTGGTCGAGGGGGACATGAGATAAGTTAAGGACATGGGCCCAAATTGATTGGAGACATTGCTCCATTTGATTGTTCGCATGAGACGCCATTGTTGGTTGCGATTATGGAATACCTGAAAGACAATGAGTAGAGTGAATAGGAATTCGGCAGATCATGGAGGCAATTAATAGCACGTGGGAAGCTAACAAGGTCATGGAGTATAGGCTTCGCGTTTGGTACGATACGGCAACACGAATAAATGTGAAGAAGGATGAACCTACCAAGGCCTGTGGTACTGTATTCGACAACACTGCGGGTTAGCAAAACAGTGAGATTAGAATTTCTTACTATGAGAGACGGAGGGAGGGGTCGGAGGAGTATGTAAAGCGCAAGGATGGCGAGAAATGGCGAACAAGGCAGGCTTGAGAGCAATCAATGGAAATTCAAAGCATTCACGTCGAAAGGTCAATGACGGAAAATATGCAGCAGCCTGAGGCGGAGCGCCCAGTTCGGCCAGTTCTTCTAGGAATTGCTATTGCCTCTGGATCGAGTCAAACGAGTGGTGCGACACCCGCGGGGCTTGCGACTCCTGAGCCGCCCCATCCCAGTCTGCAGGGCTGGGGTGAAGTGACTGCTGGGTATTTTGATCTATTGTAAGCCACACACACTTGGGTAGCACACAAAGCGAAGGCGAACAGCCGGTGCTTGCAGATAGAAAGGCAGGCATGGTCGTCGAGCAGGGAGAGAGGCTGGGTGCAAGGACCGTTGAGCGGCCATGAACATGTAAGGTGGACGCGATCGGCAACGTGACTTGCAGCCAAGTGGCCATCGTTGAATAGACTCGTAGGAGGTGCATTTCTTCTGGGGAGACATGGTGCACCGAATGCAGAGCGGCCCGGGAGCAAATCTCCCAACATGGAAAAGCAAAAAGTCTGCTGTCAAGTCGACGGGCGAGGGGGCCAAGAGGGGCGCTGGCAGTTGAGTAGGCAGGTCCAAAGGAGTGACGTCGGCACTACGCCGGCAGCGGCGACATGACGGGAATCCTGCGAGGGCCGAGTTCATCCATATTGTGGCGTTGATGTATTGCGACGTGGTGGACGCAGCAGCTCGTGTTCGCGGTGGGGAAGAAAATGACAGATGGGAAAAGGTGAGGTCGGGGGGTGTGGGCGCTTGGCCGCTTTGGGACTAGCGCTCGGCTGTAAGAAGCAACGCCACGACCCGCTTATGTAAGTCTATTCCCACAGTCGACGGAAGCCAGGATGCCAGGCAGATCGACGTCCCCACTGCCCAGCGCCTGGTTGCGCCTGGAGCGGCGTCGTATTGCTTCTGGCCACTCGACCGCGGACTTGACACTGCATACCAAGTCTGTACGACGCCGAGACGAGGCTCTCTTTGGGGGCCATTTCGAAGTCCATCTGGGGACCAGCATTCGCCGTCATTCAACCATGTCGCCATGCTCGCACTCGTACTGACATACCCCGCTTGCCATCCCGCCGCCGTCCCGCTGTCGGAGACGCCTCTACGTTACGTCTTCGCACGCCACCTCGTTCATTTGCCCAAATGGCTGCAGAGGGCGCCTCTACCAACGTCTGCGACAGGCGCCGTCTAGTCGCTTGCACAGGGGCCGGCTTGCCCGTCCGGCGGGGTGTGCCGCTACTATCGCTGTAGTGGTGTCCACACAACGGCTAACGCACCCTTAGGCTCCGCTTCTCACTGGCCCGAGACACCATTTGGGGCATCGTTCCCCTGTCTTCGCTGATCACAGGCCATCTGCCGGCTTCAGCCGCTGCATCCCCGAGATCCGGTCGCCTGTCTACATACACTTTCTACCCCGTCCATTGCCCAACCGCTCGTCTGCCTGCCACGGTCAGCACAGGTCACACCAGCGTCCAAAAAAATCCCATATGCAGTGCACTCCACACCATCCATGCCATGTCATGCCTGAGAACGCTGACGTATCACACGTTTATCCTCAGCTTCCACGATAGATTCCATCGCCTCGCCCTGTCCCTGACCCCCGTCCTTCGCGCTGGTAGCCAAGCGTCTTGACTCAAGTGCGGTCAAATTTGGACAACCTGGTCGCCGAATCTGGACATGGTTTGGGTTGGTCGGCCCTTCCATACACCCGAACATTCGCCTACACAAGGCCCAGTCTCTTGATATTAACTCCCATACTTTCTGCGCAAGCCACGTTTTTTCAACCTAGTAGGAAAACAGCACCGGGTTGCTCGAGTCATCGTGAAGCATCTCTCCAGAATTGCCATCAAGGCCTGCGCCGGGCAATTCAAGGTAGCAAGATCGTCACTGCATAGATGACCGTTACACATGAAGTCAGATTGCAAGCCGGTGAAGGATCTTTACGACTGCGTTGCTTCGGACTACGAATCTCGCATGACACTCGTTGAGCACCATTGTGCGGGTCTCAGTGCCCACTGGTCCAACTACCCCTTTCACAGCCATGGCCATTCTGCTGGGGATCGATGTGAGCGCGTATCGCCCGCCCCCTGTATCGTTGTGTGCTGAGTGTCCAATTTGTCAGGCCACACGAAACATTTCTTCGATTGTCAAACACTGTGAACTTCTAGAAGGAAAACCTGAACAGCACCATTTCTTTTCCCCAACCACTGTTTGAACTGGCATCCCCGCGGTGGTGAAGTTTCAGATGCCCCCCTCCAAACATACACATACCAACCTGACAACAGCCAGCGGCTGTGGCAGAATTAGCCTGTTTGCTAAATGGAGTCGTTTTAATCCCGGTATCAAACGTACGCTAACCTTTGTTGTCGTCTCATGGGACTGTCGATCCACAAGCTCAGCCCTTCTTGGATGCATGGGATTGCAGATCCTGATGGACTATCCAACGAACCCAAGAGAAATTTGCAATCTCTGTCACAGCACACGTGGCCAAGCTTGTAGAGTCTAGGCCGCAACATTACTCAGAACAGTCATCGCTGCACAGCAGGAATAGCATGCAGAGACCAGGTCAAGCGAGGCGGCTCCTCTCTTCCGCCAAAACCCCAAACCAAAATTGGAGGTCCGTTTTCTTTGGTGTGTTAAAGTTTAATGTGACAAGACTGCCTTCCTTATCCATACCTCTGAGCCTCGAGGTCCAGAAAATGCTGCAATCACTGTTTTGATTGATTTTTTTAGCGGTATGGCGACATTTCCCAAATTGGTCCTGGCGGCAGACGGGAGCCACGGATAGATCGCTTGGGTCTAGTCTTCCACAAACGATGCCGATAGATGTACACGCCAACGGGAACAGGTAAGCCTGCCGTCTTTTCCAGATGTCAGGGCAAATTAAGCGCGATCGTCATTCTGACGGCAGTAGTCCGGCAGCCACAAATCGTAGACTCTCATCTGAGCTGTGCCAAGGCGACAGCGGGGTTGTGCAACTAGGGTTGAGGATCCCCTTCCCGGACCGCCATGAACTAATGCTGGAACACGGGGCGATGGACTGGTGTCGATCCTTGCTACAAATTCGGATGGGAAATGCGGCTAAGCCAAATGACCATGCACGTCCCATGTCATTTTCTATGTCTTACCAACGTATTGAGCAAGCATGCACTGGCCCTGAACCAGGTTTCGGGACATGCTTCGATGCCTAAGACTACCAAGCAGGGCATAGTAGCCATGTGTGATATCTGCAAACGGCTTGCATGATATCCACGTTTGTGCTTTATGAAGTCGATCACAGTGAATTGTGCCGATCTTATACCGTCTACACGGGAATTCAGAGAAAAACTCAGCGTACTAGAGCCACGTAAAATTTGCCGGCAGTCTCACAATGGCGAACAGTAGTGTCTGTGCACCAGTGGAACATCGATGTTGTGGCATTGCAAAGCATTGGGCCTGTAGGTCCACATGCACACACTACCGCCGAGTCCAAGCCTTTCGTGCTGGTGTGCAGACACATGGACGCCGATGAGGCAGGTAAATAAGGAAAGCAGCATTCTGCCACCGGCCCACTCAGCCTTCGTATCGGTGGAAACTCCTTTGAAGCATAAGGAGACGTCGGATTATCAATGCCCACATCCCATACTTTCTTACTTTCCTTAATGTTTCTCCCTAATTCCTGAGTTCTCACCGGTCACAGTCATGCTCTCCAAGACATCGACTCCGAATGTGAACTGCACCTTGGTGGATAGCACCTTCGGTCCCTATGCTGGGCCTTACTGCCGAGGGGGGTTCGACTTTACCCTCCTCTTCTCAGAGGTTTTTCTTTCGATTGTGCCTTTATCTATACTCTTAGCTGTCATTCCGTTCAGGTCTTTATACCTGTGGAGAAGGCAGACAAAAGTTAAAAAGTCAACATTACTGTACACAAAGCTGGTAAGATGTACTCCATATCATAATAACAACAGCTAACGTGTGCATAACAGATAGGATGGGCCCTCTTCGCTGGCTTCGAGTTGGCCCTTCTGGTAGTATGGTCAAGCCGCAAAGCTCACGTGAAGCACATGGGGCTATCCTCCGCCGCCGTCAGCTTCGTTGGAGCATTGTTGTTAGGCTTCTTTTCATATGTGGAACATATGCGCTCGATCAGGCCGTCGCTCCTGCTCAACCTATACCTTTTCTTCACATTTTTGTTCGACATTGAGCGGTCTCGCAGCTATGCACTGATGCCTGAGCTAAGCCTCATAGCTACTGTGTTCGCTACACGACTTGCAGTGAAGCTGTTTCTGGCCATAGTGGAGTGTAAAGATAAACGAAGACACCTCCTTCCAGAGTATGCTAACTGCCCTCCCGAGGCTACAAGTGGTATATACAAACGTGCTTCCTTTTGGTGGCTCAACGAGCTTTTCAAGAAGGGCTACTCTAAAGCTTTGACTGTGGATGATCTCTTCCACTTAGATAAATATCTGCGTGCTGACTACATGCACAATGTACTGGGTTCAGCATGGGCGCGACGTAAGTCCATATCCGAACCTACTCTCGCTGAGCAGTTTACTGACGTTTTCATCTCTCTTCAAGTGGAAAAGCCTAGCCCGAATGCCCTGTTTACCACAACTGTGGGAAGGTTGAAGTGGTCTATCTTGGCAGTCGTCCCGCCTCGGCTCTGTCTGATTGGCTTCAACTTCTGTCAGCCATTCCTCATCAACAGAGCAGTCAAGTTCTCCCAGGAAACTTCAAACCCTCAACAAAGAAACATTGGATATGGTCTGATCGGGGCTTACATAATTGTTTTCGTTGGTATTGCGGTATGTGCTGTCCTCAGATCGAACATTAGGATTCTCATGGCTAACTTTACCGCTAGGTCTCTACAGGGCAACACATGCATTTGACATTTCGCTTCATCACACAGATGCGTGGTGGCCTCGTATCAATGCTGTACAACAAAGCCACCGAGGTTGCATTAACCGATGTTGACACGGCCTCTTCAATTACACTTATGAGCGCTGATGTGGAACGAATTGTTACTGGAATGGAAACTGGACACGAGGTAAGCAAAAATGATCTATTGGCCAGAACCCAGCGAGTAAACTAATTTGCAATTTCCTTGTAGATCTGGTCCAACACATTGGAAATCGCACTCGCCATGTATTTGTTGGAGCGACAATTGGGCGCAGCTTGCGCTATACCCATTGGTATCGCGGTGTTGTCACTGCTCGGATCCATTGCAGCGACTAGCCTGGTCATGCAGCGACAAGCACTTTGGCTTGAGGGTATCGAGAGGCGTATCGCTGCCACAAGTGCTATGCTCAGCTCCATCAAGGGAGTAAAGATGGGTGGCCTCACAGAAGTCCTTAGGCAAGATTTGCACAAGCTGCGAATTGAAGAGCTCGATATCTCCAAGAAATATCGAAAACTACTTATCTGGACTATGGGCTTCAGTAAGAAATTACCTGGTCCGAAATGTGTATCATCTACTAACCATGAGTAGCGTATATCTCCCCCATTGCATCTCCCATTCTTGCATTCGCAGTCTTTTCAGTGATCGCGCAGAACAGCGGAGGCAAAAGCACGCTTGATACTGCAACTGTCTTCACATCTTTGTCTCTGTTTACCCTGCTCACGGAACCTCTTGGTTCGCTAATCATGGCTCTTTCGTCCCTCATGGGTGGCGTTGGATCGTTCCAGCGAATTCAGGAGTTCATCTCACAAGCCCCTCGCGCTGACCGCCGTTCATATGCACCTCCACACACGTCCAGTGCTACATGGCTTTCAGAAGCGGGTAGTATATTTGAGAAGGGATCCGTTGTTTCTCAGAAGAGTCGCTCTTCTACCGAGGTCAAAGAGTCCACCACATTTCAAGCAATCGTCATTGAAGACGGCTACTTTGGGTGGGATCCAGAAAAGCAGCCGGAAGGTAGCCTGCAGCAGATCGACATGATTGTTCCACGAGGAAAAATTACCATGGTCGTGGGACCAGTAGGTTGCGGCAAATCAACCCTGCTTAAAGCGGTGCTAGGAGAACTGCCGGTAATGGGTGGTTCGCTGCAAATGTCATCCCTGCGCATCGCCTTTTGCGACCAAAGCCCATGGCACACAAACGGAACTGTCCAGGAAAGTATCATTGGCGTGTCGAACTTCGATCAACGCTGGTATTCATCTGTTGTTCGAGCCTGCGCCTTGGATGACGATCTCGCACAGCTGCCCCAGGGTGATCAAACAGAGATCGGCAGCAACGGTCTTGCGTTGAGTGGGGGCCAAAGCCAACGCCTTGTGAGACCACCCCACATATCCTCTCCGCTTCTGTACCTTAGCCAAGACTAACGCATACACCCTTTAGGCCCTTGCAAGAGCAGTTTACGCACA